CTCTGTCAAGTAAATAGATAAAGTCTTTAAAAAAAAAAAAAGATTCTTTTGAAATACATAATCAATAAATATAGCTTACAAGTCACTCACTACTGACCTGGGCAAGTCACCTCCGTTCTGGGCCTGGACTTCCTAATTTGAAAAGCGATGGGGTGGGGCTAGACAAGGTATTCCCTCTGGGATCTGCGAAACCAGATGCAAAGGAGGGAGGGTTCTCAACCTGGTCTGTGCCTTAAAATCCCCTACAGATTCCCTCACTCCTCCTCCCAAGGATGTTAAATACAAGAGCTTGGGGGTTCTCCTGTGTGAGGCCCACATCCCAGAGGCCGGTATAAATTTAAGACTTAACAGAGTCAGGGAAAGAAAATATCCTGGGCGGGACGCCTGGGTGGCTCAGTCAGTTAAGCGTCTGCCTTCGGCTCAGGTCATGATCTCAGGGTCCTGGGATCGAGTCCCGCATCAGGCTCCCTGCTCAGTGGGGAGCCTGCTTCTCCCTCTCCCTCTGCTTGTGCTCTCTCTGTCAAATAAATAAAATCTTAAAAAAAAAAAAAAAGAAAATATCCTGGGCTTACTCAACAGCATATTCAAAGGAAGATTTTTGCTTCATGACACACCAATTCAATTCAGCCATCATCATGGTTTATTCTCTCTGAGCAAGGGAGCTGAGCTGGGTGCCAGACCAGCAGAGTTGCCAGTCTGAGCAAATGAAATACAGGATGCCCGGTTAAATTTGAATTTCAAATAAATAATGAATCATCTTTTAGTATAAGTGTACCCCCCAAACAATATTGGAGATATGCTTATCCTAAAAAAATGACTCATTGCTCATCTGAAATCCAATTTAACTGGAAGTCTGTGCTTTATCTGGATCTGACTTGATCGTGCTCCCAGAGGACCAAGGCAAACACCAGTTCCCAGGATCTAGTGATACACTCCAGAGGAAGGTGGGAGGGGCTCCCAAAAAGATGTTAAGAAAGAAAAGCAGAGAGAAGGTTTGAGAATGACCTTATGAGAGTCTGAAGCTGGAAGGAGCAGGTGACTCCTAATCTAATCAGCTTCAGTCACCATAGAAACCATCAAAGTCAGCCAGAAAAAGCTGGTGAACTCCACCATCTACCACCTCTCTGCCAGGGTAGATCATTCACATTCCCCTCCCAGGATAGGTCTGGTCGGGAACGGTTCCACTGTCTCGGTTTCTCTCCCAGGAGACAGCTGGGACCTGATCCTACCCTCTTCCTCCCAAGCCTCTTCTTCCTGCCAGCCACAGACTCAGATGGCTGCCCTGTAGCAGCTATCCTATTGTGAGAGATAGCAACTGGATACCTAGCCCCGTGTCGCAGAAAAATCAGAGCCAGAGAGTGGTTAACGCAATACAAATAGATTTTATTCAGGACTATTGCAATAGAGGAAAAGAGACCTTGGTGTGGAATAGGGCTCCATTCCAAATACAGCCTGGGCAAGTGGGAATTTATAACCAAGGAGTGGGGTGGGGGTCGGTGTATGGAAAATGACTAAGAGGGCTAACGGGGATTCTGGCTAAACCGACCTAACAGGATTCTTGCTGAAGACAGGCCCAGGTGATCAAACATCACCTGGGAGATAGTGGAGGATGAAGAACCCAGTAAGATATGGAAAGAGATCAGATATGGAGGGTAGGGGCTTCTGGTTAAACCAACTTAGCAGGGCTATTACCCAAACCGGATTTTATATGGAAGTGCCCATACAAGAGTGGAAGAAGATTTGTTTGGTCAAGCAAAAAAGCTTTGTCACCTGTCCATGAGGAGGTCACATTCTAGCAGGGGAACAGGACACAGGAGGGAAATGGCCCAAGGACATACAGGAAAAGCTTGTTCAGAACAAAACAGGTCTGACCTGGACTGTCCGTCCACATATCTCTGTCCCTTCCTGAGTAGAGTGACTCTCCTAATCCAAAATGTGATTAAATTGATTGGGGAAATGTTCAATCTTTCAGACAAGACACAGGCAGGCAGTAAGCTTTGAATACAAATGCAGGAGTTTGCAGTGACGCATTTTATATCTGACTCTGGAAATTAGAGGCTCTTTGAAGGTAGCATGCAAATTTGTTCAAAATGTCCCCAGCCAGAAAATTGGATCATGCACTTATGCAAATCATGAGACGTGCTTTTTAAGGCACAGCCTCGGGTCCTTCTGTGTACCTCTCTGCTGGGCCAGCCCTGACCTCAGAGCAGCAATACCGATTCTCCCCATGGGGCCTCCCACTGCACTTCCACATCGGTCCTCCTTCCCTTTGCACACAAGTGCTGAACGTTATTGTTCCCATTTTACAGATAGGAAAGTAGGGCTCTGAGCAATGAAGACGACTGAGCCATGGTCACTTTGCTCTAAGGGGCAGAGCCAGCCAGAAGCTGCCCTCTCTCTCTTCCCTAGTATAGCACAACTTGCACAGATGTCGTTCCACTCCTGAAGATTCCGCACTTTTAGAGGAACATGAAGAACGTCCTATCTCCTTCCACTGGCCTACCCACACACAGGATTCTGCGGAAGGGGCACCCCTAACACTTAGTAAATTTCTTCCCTTTGCTAAAAATTTGCTAAATTTGCTCCCTTTCATGTAACTCCAATCTTCCCGGAAGCTGCTGTCTTTAATCAAGACAATCAAACTTGAGCAATTCAAGGCAACTTCTCCTCTGATGGCCAAGAGCACCACACAGAGAAGACTGGCCCACCTTTGACTTTGTACAGGCTCAGAAAGTTTTGAGGTTTGGTTTGTGGCATGTTACTTAACCCAGGAAACCAGGGCTTCCAAAATTACGAGTCCACTCTGTATCCAACATACGCATTAAGCTCCATCCCTGAATTTCATCAAATAAGAATCTGGAAGACTTTGCAAACATTCCCACCCAAATTCCTCTCTACTTTTCTCAGAGTTTCCATCTCCTGAGGCTCTGATGCCTTAACCCAAGGCTACTGCCACCTGTAGACATTAATGCTAACCCTAGTTTTCACCTGTGAAGCCTAGCCAGTTTGGCAGAGACCTGGAGCCTCACTCTAGGTCACCCCCCAGTGCGAAGGCTGGCTGGTCGCCCCCATGGCGTCCACGTGGTTGTCTCTGCCTGGAATGCCCCCTTCTCCACCTGAAGCAATCCGGCTTCTCCTTCAAGTCCCTGCTCAAATCTCCCTGGAATTCCACCTTCGTGGGACTGCTCTGAGAACTGAGGTCAAGTACAGGTGGACACAGACAGGGGCACTGAGCCAGGACAGCACTGATTGTCACTGTCCTGCCCTTGCTCCTGCCCCTCTTGAGAAATTCACCCCCTTCCCAATTCCCTCTGCCTCTTACTCACACTGCTGCATAGTGACTGGTGGGCTCACCCCTCTCCTCCATAAAATCCTAAACTCCTTGAGGGCAAGGATCTTATCTTGCTTGTCTTTGGGACCTCATCCCTGGCTCTGGGCCTGGCACTTAGGGAGTTCCATGTATATTTGCCAATAAATCCTCCTGTCTCCTGGGCTCCAGGGACAGCAACCTGATGAATGTCAGAACACTGTGATAAATTAAAAGTCATTGTATGATGTGGCTGTGGACACAAAGACTGTTCTGCTAGTGACATCATGTCGGGCTGGGGACACCACTGGTCATTAGGAATGTTTACTTCGGACAGAACCCTTGGCTTGTGGGGAAAATGGCCCAGAGCCCCACTAGGTGTGTCACTGTGGCCTGTAGGAACTGTCTCCAATAGGGACGGGGCTATCCAGCTGGTGTGGTCTGCCCTGTCTGCCCTCATGTGTCTCTACAGGCCCAGGGTCTCAGTTAATATTTTTTGATAACTGCATGGATTCCTTTTAAATCACATGAAACTAGTTGTGTTGTTGAGGACAAGAAGCTCAGAAGAAACTTCCTCTGTATCTGCATCTCTCTCACTGACTGAAGAGAGCAGGCTCCTATGAAGGAAGCACAAAAGTTCCCAGAAGGTCTGAGGGTCCCAGACACACTCTATGCTCACTCGTGCCTCTGTGCCATCCCACTGGTATTCCCTCCTCCGAGAACACCCTTCCCCTAGTTACCCCCAACCTTTTGTCCAGGACCCCACTTGTGCACCTTCCCTGTCAGGTCTTCCTGCAATAAAGGGGTCTGGTGCAGTCCCTTCAGAGTTCTTCTGATTCAACACTGGTCATTTTCACAAGTTCAAAGCAGTCTTAGGGCCAGAACGAGGAGTTGGCAGGCAGGTCCTATATCTGCACCTCAAGTAGTAACAAGACCTGTCGTAATGGGGAAAATGTGTCCACTAGGTTGGAAGGAGTTGCCCCAAGGTTTTGCACTCCAGCATGTGGTGTGACAGGGCATGGGATGCAGACTAGAGGCCTAGAGATGAGGACAGAGGACAGCTGGGGAGCTGAGAACTAGGATTTTAAAAGCCGTGAATCCTCAGCAAACAAGACCACTAGGTCTTTCTGCCACAGATGCCTCAGAGCAGCATCCTGGGAATCCGCGAAGAAGCACTGGTGAAGGAACTGTGCCCAAGGTACGGATCTGGGGGAGATTGAAGAACCTACATGCACACCCCCATTCCATCACTCACTAGCAAGATCATAAGCTTGGCTTCTCTCAATTTAGTCTCCTCAGCTATGAAATGGTCTCCCGGGGAATTGGAACTAGATTCCTGAGCCACTTTTCTGGAAGATGTGAACAAGTCATCCAGAGACACGTTCCAGGCTTCCCGGGGGTTCCCTGTACAGAAGAGATGCCCATGAGGACGTGTCCACTTTGTGATTGTCTCTGACATCATTCGGCTCACGATCTCTTTAAGCGGTTTACAGAACGCTCTGACCTTCACAATGAATTCCCGTTGCACGGTCCCATCAGCCGCTTTTACAAACGGGAAGACCTGGGCCCGTAACTGGCCACTGTCACCCTGCGGAGACCAGAGCGCCGGGGATCTGCTCCGCACTGACACCGCAGGGAGGCCCGGCGCCCGCCCGGGGGGCGGGGCCACGGCGCGGGGCGGGGCCGGCTCGGGTCACGTGACGCCCGGCCCGGAAGCGCTCGCTCTCGAGACCCCCGGGTGACGGGGTCGGGAGCTGCCGCCTGGAGCGAGCGGGGAGGTCGCGGGGGTCCCTGCAGTTTCCCGCTCCCCGCATCCGCCGCCATGGCCTGGACCAAGTACCAGCTGTTCCTGGCCGGGCTCATGCTCGTCACCGGCTCCATCAACACGCTCTCGGCCAAGTGAGTCCGGGCCCGGCCGGGAGGGGAGGGGGCTCAGCCGGACCTGCCGCGGCCCTCGAGGGCGCCGGCGACCCCGCGCACCTTCCTCGTCCTCCTCCTTCTCGGCTCTCCTTTCCCGGCTTCACCGGCTCGCCGCGTTTCTCCGGTCGGTTCACGCGGTTTTGGGGCCCCCAAGGGGCGCGAGGCCCCGGGGAAATATGGACCGAGGCCTTGTCGCCGGCTGGAGGATCCGAGCCCCGGCTTTGATCGCTGTGTGCTTGATCCCGGCGAGTCACCTCCCGACTCCATGCCTCAGTTTCCTCATCTTTAAACGGAAGGGTTGGACCAGTTCCTCTCCGGCCCCTTCCAACGCTGGCTGGAGGCCGGGCCCTTCAGGAGCTTTGGGCAGGGGTGAGGTGAAGGGGCACTCCCGCACTTGTGCACACCGGCTGCAATAGAAGCCATGAGGGCCGAGTGACCAGTGAGCGTGGAAGGCTGTCGCGACAGAGATGGGGGTACCCCATGGGCTTCTTATTGAGGAGAGGTCAAAGCTGGGCCTTGACATTTTGGTGGAATTTCTACATGTGGCCAGATGCGGTTGCAGGGAACAGCAAGGCCACATCGAAGTGTATTGTAACTAGCACCAAATGCCCAGGCCGCATTTTATCCCACAATCAAAGAAGGGCTTTTGAGCAGGGAGTGACATGTTAAAGGTGATATGATGAACCGGGTGGTCAAGATGAAGAGTAGTTTGGGGCAGGGGAAACCACTCGGAGGCTGCTGCAGAGCAGATGAGGGAGGGAAGAGGGGGCAGTGAGGCAGGCAAGGAGGGGACAGGTAGGAGAGACCAGGTGCAGAATGAAGCCATAAGGCCTGACCCACAGGATTGAGAGAGAGAGAGAGAGAGAGAGAGAGAGAGACAGTGAACCCTCCAGGGTTTCTGCCTGGGAGAACAGAAGTGTCATGAACCCAGACAGGGAGGGCAGGTGCACAGTTCAGCTGTGATGCATGAGGGTGAGGTGCTTGTGGGACCGGGAAGACAGACCCCAGGAGGTTAGGGATTGAGGACCCGGGGCTGTCACGAGGCCGAGGGGTTGAGCATAGCCTCCTCTGTAATGTACAGGAGACCCAGAAGGCAGCCCCTTCTCTTGGCAGCACTTTGTCGCTTGCTCTGCCCCCACCTCAAGGCAGGGCCCTCCTGCCCCCTCAGTTTACCATTTCAGAACCCCCAGTGCCTGGATCCTGGCCTTTTTCTGAACCGATTCCAAAAGGCATTTGGAGAAGAGTAGACAGTGGCCCTGTCCCAGCCAGACCTCACTTCCAGCTGGGCCCTGCCAGGCTCCACAGCAATGCAGAGTCACACCAGTCACCCTCTGGGCTGTGCTCGAGGCCCCCTGGGTGGTAGGGGGCTAGTCATCTCTTATTCAGTGTTGAAGTGTTCGTTCAAATGCTCCAGAGGAGAGACCTGGGAGGGAGGTATCCAGTTCAATTCGTCAGCCTTGTATAAGGTACCTACAGGGTGTGAAGCACTGTCTGGACTCAAACTCAGAAGGTTTGAGAAGCTTAGAATCAGAGGTGAAGGGGACAGAGCATACACACTTGACAACCAGTGTCCTCCCTTCTCCAAAGGAAGTACAGCTCTGGGTAGACCCCCCTCCCCCCCCCCCCCAGTCTCTGGTTTGTCTATGTCTGTGTTTTGAGCTGGTCTCCTGAGCCCTGTGGCCTCCTTAACTGTAAAGGAGACTCAACATGGGAGCTCCCATCTCGGGATCTGAATGCAGCAGAACAAGTCGTCTGTCTGTCCATCTGTCATACCCTCCAAGGCCTCAGTCAAGTGTTTAGGGAGTGGCTATAGGTCTGCCAGGGCTTCTGTCCCCACGGAGAGTCGAGATGGACAGTTATTACTGGGGTAAACTGACTCAGCTCCTTCCCGGCCAGGTAGGAGGCCCTGGGATCCTTGGCCTCAGGAGGCCTTGCCCTTGGAGGCTGCCTGAGAGGCAGGAAAGAGACTCCCACATGGGGACCCAGCCTTTGGCCCCGTCCCCTGCCAGGTCACCTGATGTGGGGCCTCTCAGGAACCTCCCTACCTCAAATGGGCCCCAGAATTGGGCCCTAAACAGTGTTCTGAGGCCAGACTTTGAGAAGGACGCCCTCAGAGAGAAAATGTGAGAGAGCGCCTGTGTACATCCTGATGGGAATTACCGATTTGTAATCACACTCTGACCTGCAGTTTCTGGCAGGACAGACAGACTACAATGTGACCACAGCGAGTGCTAAGCAGCTGCTCTAACCAGGGCCTGGCCCTGCTGCGGCCGCCTTTCATGTGTTCGTTTAATGAACTCTCGTAACCGGCCTATGAGGGGGATAAACTCCCTGTCCCGGGATCAGGAAACTGAGCTATGGAGAGATGGAATCGCTTGCCCGAGTTCAACTCAGCTGGTCAGTGGCAGAGTTTATATTGAGCCAAAGTAATCTGGCTTGAGACTCCAGGCTCTTAACTATCACTATGGGATGAGGCTAGGGACTTCTCAAGTCATTTTTCAGGGCATTTAAAGCTGTTAGAAACATAGAAATCACCCATCCTAATCCCCACAATTTATAGTCTTGGTCCCATGAGAAGTTTCTTTTTGTGACTAGCTGGCTGGCATCAGAGTGGGGACCAGAAGCTAGGTCTCAGCATTTTAGTCCAGTCCTTCTACAGTGGCAGTACCCCAAAGTTCCGCTTCCTTGGGGATCGCCTCTCACATCTCCCCAGGGAGAGCAGCCAAGCCTGGCCCACGGAAGTTGTAGTCCCACAAGCGACAGCTCCCCTCCCTGCTGCCAGAGTGCCCTCCCTCTGGGACTGGGCAGCAAAGCTCTGTCCCAGCCCAGGGGATCCTGCCATCATCCTACTTCGTTTCCCCCTGGAGACAGGGGGCCACTCACGGTTCTCATTTAGTGTCTCAGTAGCCTCTTTCAGTTCCTTGACTTGTAAAATGTCCAGGGAAGACGAAACTTGCGGCGGAGGAAGTGGGTGAACACCTGCCGCGTGTTGTGCTGGGACCACAGGGCGTCTGTCCCCCGGAGGAGGCCACTGTGCCTGCTCAGCAGGTCTGGGTAGGCTGCAGGAGACAGGCCTGCCCTTGCTGCGATGGGGGCAGGGGTCACATACCCACAGCAGAAAGCCACCCATCGGCCTGGCCCTCTGGCCCTGTCCCTGGGCCTCGGCAAAGGGCCCTTCCAGTCAAGCGGTTGCTTCTGCTTTCTGTGGCTGCTTTCTGCTGCCCCGCTCACCGGGGCCTTCTGCTGATGCATCTCCTGCACAGCAGGCAGTCCCCACCCCCCAGCACTGCTTGGGGCTGTGCCTGAACTAGTGCCTGTCTGTGGGGTCCTGCCCATTTCAGAGCCCCGTTCTCCTGAATCCAGCTGGGGTTCTGCATGTCAAGAGCCAGGGTCAAGCAGACGCTCACTAAGTAAGGCTCAGGTGCCCTCCTAAATGCTGCAGGCTGTGAAGCCCACCCAGCCAGAGAGGAGCCAGGGGGTGACTTCCCCTCCCAACAGTCAGGCCCCTGGTGTGGGGACCCTGCCACGAAAGTGGCAGGAGGCCTGGGACCCCTGGGTCTCTAATAGGGAAGGACTCTCTCTGTCCTTCCTGTGCCAGCTCTAACTTCTGCCTTGGTGGCTGACCCCACCCTTAAATCTGAGGAGCTGGCCTGGGATAATTGCTTCAAAGGGTTCCTGCACCAGCCACAGAACGCCTTAAACCAGGAGGGCAGTATGTAGAGTGAAAAGAGTGCAAGGCATGGGAGTTTATGGGATTAGATGAGTCACTGGGCCTCTCCAAGCCTCAGGTTCATCTGTAAAATGGGCCTGACTTCCCTCCCTTCTTCCCAGATGCAGGGTAGGCTCTACTGAGGAAGACTGGGTAATACTTAGATGAGAGGTCGCGTGATCGTTTATCACCAGCTGCTGTGACACCAAAGAGTGGAGCAGCCCTGCGTCCTTGCTGGAGATCCCAGGCAGGAGAAAGGCGCTGACTCACTGGGCTTAACAAGCTGGGGGCACCAAAGGAAGTGGCAGAGATTCTGCAGGGGACTGGACACCCGACTGTCAGTCTGAGCTAGCCACATTGGCCACTTCCTCAGTCTGTCGGCACCCGCTGCCCTCACGTGGCCACGCACACCTCTCAGAATGCTGAGCTCTGAGTTTGGCCAGGCTGGAGTGACTCACCCCCAGCCAGGGGACCCCACCCCCGGCCTGCCGAGGCCCCTCCTAAAAGAAGCCGGTCTCCTGGCTCAGTCAGTAGAGTGTGTGACTCTTGATCTCAGGATTGTGAGTTCGAGCCCCATGTTGGGTGCAGAGATTACTTTAAAAAAAATTTTTTTAATTTAAAGAAAAAATTATAAAAGAAGCCGGTCTCTGCCAGCAGAAGGCAGCTCCTCATGTAGCGTCAGCCTGACTCTCGGGGGTCCCCACAAGCTTCCCCTCCTGCCCACGCGACCATGGCCTTCTATCTAGAGAGAAGGGAGGGCCCATCTGCAGAGCTGGCCTCTCTCCACCTCAGCCAGGGGAGTGGGAAAAATCTGGAATAAGAAGGTGATGGGAGAAATTCATGGAACTGGAAGTGGAGACCCCTGGGGACTAGCCTTTCTCGGCACCAGATGAGCCCTCTGTCCCTCAAGCGCTCTCTGATCCCTGGGTTTTCTTGTCTGTCAAATAAGGAGCTTTCTGAGATGATGGTTGAGTTTCTTTTCTGTCGGCACTTTGTGGCTCTGTGGCCCTCCGGCCACCTCTGCTTCAGCTGGCCAGTGGGTCCCAGAGAATGGATGTGCGCTCTTGGGCTGGAGCAGAGCGGGCCGTATTGACCCAACACAAGGGGACAGACTCCTGCTTAATAGAGGCGAAAGAGGGAGAAGGGGCAGAAAAGGACTTTCACTGACTCCCTGCCATGTGCCAGCTCTTGTTTTTTGTTTTGTTTTGTTTTTTTAAGATTTTATTTATTTATTTGACAGACATACAGTGAGAGAAGGAACCCAAGCAGGGGCAGTGGGAGAGGGAGAAGCAGGCTTCCCACAGAGCAGGGAGCCCGATGCAGGGCTCGATCCCAGGACCCTGGAATCATGACCTGAGCTGAAGGCAGACACTTAAGGTCTGAGCCACCCAGGCCGCCCCATGTGCCAGCTCTTATATATCTTATTTATACTTTTGACAGTTCATCAGTGCTGGCCTTATTATCCCCATTTTATAGATGAGAAGACTATTAACTTGTCCAGCCTGTGAGACTCAAAAGTCATGAGCTTTCCATATATTCTGCTGCCTTTTCTGAATGCAAATTGAAGCAGATGGATTTGGCCCTAGACCCGCCTGTTGTTAACTGTGTGGGTCTGCACCCAGCGCTCTCCACCCCTCCACCCCAAACCATGAAGTCCCCATCTGTAAAATGAAGAACATGAAGCGTCCAGCACAGGCCTGGCACGAAGTCAGTACCCGGCGAATTGTACCTTTATAAAAACATGCAGTGAAGTGTTTTGCAAACAGCTGTCCCACCTTAGGGGCTCTTGCTGTCACCCCCCGATCAACAGAGCCTGGATCTTGGCTCTCGTTCTGTGCTATCTGGGGTCCATCTGTGCCTATGCAATGAGCTGAAGCCTGTCTCACGACCAGGAGGTGAAGCCTGACCCTAGCCCCAAATCTCTGCAGGCCTGAACTCCTCTCTCTCTGAAGAAAGGCTGGGCAGGGCCGCCTGTCCTTGCGACACCCAATCCCTTGGACTGCAAGCCCGCCCCAGGCATCCAGATACAAAAAGACTCCATTTCCCAGGCTGGGAACACTGCCAGCCCCAGCTTGTTGAGGCAAATCCACCCCTTGGGGAAAGCAAAGAAGGCCCCAGGGGCGGGAGAGGGAGCTCAGCACCGGCCTTACAGCCAGCTCTTTGCACTTGGTGCCCACTCCTGGGGGACAAGCCCAGCGGGTCCCACCAGCAAGCGGCACCTCCCCCGGTGGGAAATTAGGAGGCAAGCATACGCTACCTCTGGACTGTAGTACCTGCCCGTTCGCCAGGTGGAGCCTGAAAATGCCATTATTCCACAACAACAACAAAATGGAGCTCCTGTATGCCAGGAGCTGGGGATCCAGAGATAGAGAAGTTGCTGCGTGCTGAGCTTCCACCCTCAAGCGGTAGTGACTCGAACACACAGAGGGATCGATGTGTGAGTGGTCGTTACGGTAAGCTGCGTAGGCAGTAGCCCAGGGGGGAGGCGGCTCTACCAGTAAATCAGGGGTTCTTCTGGAGCCTGCCATGCACTCTGGGTACACCATCGTGATGAGGAAGGGGCTTCCACACGTGCCCTCGCCTTAAACTTGTTGACCTTCATGGGCTTGGCAGAACCTCCCTTGTTCCTCCTGGAGGAGCCCTGGCTCCAGCTGCAGGAATTTCCATCTCTGACGTGCTTTGGGGCAGCTGGCTCTGCACTTTGGTAAAGCAGGACCTCTTTACTCTTCCTCGCTTCTCCTCTGTTACACTCAGTTGCCTCACCCAGGCCCTCCCAGAGTGCTCTTTCTGCAAAAGCAAGCCTGAGTTGGAGAGCAGACCTGCCTTGGGGGGGGTGCCACACCATTGTCTGTGGCCCCCACCCGCATCCCATGTCCTGTCCTGCCTGGGGATCCAAGAGCCAGAACTTGCAGCAGATGGGGCAGAAATGAGACCCCACAGAGCAGATGGTTTCTTTAGTTATAGCTTTCTTTGCCCCATTGGTACTGGGACTGGTTACAGCCTAGTCCCCTGACCCAGATTTCTCTCCACGTTTCCAAAGGGTCCTGTGAGACCTTCTCGCCACCCTTCAGCTCTCCTTTGACCCCCACCATTCCCAAGAACCACAAGCCCTCCTAAATGCCCCTCCTGGCATCTCTGGGGTGGGTGGGGTCTCCCGCTGAGAGCTCACTCACTATGAGCTAAGTTTGCCCTAGCCCTGTTTTGTTCACTGGCCCTGGAGTGTGTTCAGATCAATGAGTAGATGTGGTCTCGCCCTCAGGGCCAATGGGGAATTCTACAGCCATTCAGCCCGCCCTTCCTGCTGCCAGCTTCCAGGCGTCCCCTGTCCCCTCCCCAAACTCAGGGCACAGGGAAGCCATGGCTGGCCCGGATCTTTGTCAAACCCAGCCCTAACCAGTGTCCCAGGCTTGCAGTCCTGTGGGGGGCACAGAAACAAAAGGCTTCCCCCTGCCTTTTGAAACCTCAGGCTGGTTGCCAAATGAGCCCGCGTAGTAGGGCTGGGGACTACCATGTGGCTGCTCTTGACAGACATTGTAAGGAAAGACATTTGAGAAAAAGAAGTCCTGAGTCTTGTAGTTTAGAGACAGCCACCGCCTAGGCGTGGGGCGCTGCAGAAAGAAAGGGTCCAGGGCCCACAGGACACTGCCCTGGGTCCGCATTGACTCGAGTCAGCTGTGTGATGTGACAGACTCCGTTAGAGCTGTGGCAGCGAATGACAGGATGTGTAACATGAAGGAGGGGCGGCTGTCTTGCCAGGCTCGGTCCTGGCCAGATGCCATGCACTTACCTCGGGGCCTGGGCCCACCTGAGTGCTTCCAGAAGTCAGCAGCCACGGGAGTTAAAGGTTAGGAAGGGCTGGGGCTGTTTAGCCACAAGATGAGAAGATTCAAAAGAAGGTAAGAAAGTCTCCGAATATCTAAAGGACATTTTTTTTTAAAAGGTTTTATTAACTTATTTGTCAGAGAGAGAGAGAGCACAAGCAGGGGGAGAAGGAGAAGCACGGGGCCTGATCCCAGGACCCCGGGATCATGACCTGAGCCAAAGGCAGACACTTAACTGACTGAGTCACCCAGGCGCCCCAAAGGACTTTTAAATGAAAGAGATTAGATGAGACCCCAGGGACCCAACAAAGCCCAGCAAGAGTGAAATTGGGGGGCAGGAGCGGCAGACGGTGCAGAATGATTGGTGGTAGCTGCCCACGGCGCTCTGCCGCAGAGGATTCTGGGCTTGCGTCTGGGTTTGCTAGGGAAGCGTGCCAGACTCAGTGATGCCATCTGGCAGGGTGCTGGCCGGGAAGCCGCTCCACTAGTGCCATGTACTTGCCACCTGCTTCCCAGTTAGTGCTAGAAAGACCCTCCAAACGCTGCAGGTTACAGGAAGGTGACCGGATGTGTCAGGCAGTCATTTCCCAAGGGCCCGAATGCCCTTGCAGACCACAGGCTCCTGATATTTTTTGTGCCGTCGGCCCATTTGACAGTCTGGTAAAGCCTAGAATATTGTTTTTAAATGTGCATTTAGGGGCGCCTGGGTGGCTCAGATGGTTAAGCGTCTGCCTTCGGCTCAGGTCATGATCCCAGGGTCCTGGGATCGAGCCCCGCATCGGACTCCCTGCTCAGCGGGGAGTCTGCTTCTCCCTCTTTCTCTGCCTCCCCCATGCTTGTGCTCTCTCTGTCTCTCTGTCTTTCTGTCTCTCTCTCAAATGAATGGGTAAAATCTTTAAAAAAAAAAAGTGCAATTAAAGGTTTGGATTACAGAAAAAGTCACTTATGTTGAAGTAAAGTTATCAAAACATTGAAAAAGCCAATTTGTGCTATAGTAATATGTGTGTGTATACACTTCTTGACACAGAATATTATAAGCAGTGGGTCTAATTACTGTGATTTTGTAGTAGCGATGATTGTAAATGCCACTTCCCGGTTCCTGCAAGGACTCTGACGTGCCGAGAAGAGCAGCCGTGACTTGTGTGTATGACAAAGTCACAGGTACTGCGGGGCTACATTCACAATGTGAGGAAGTGCTACATTTCAGCTAAAGGTTTCTGCCGCCCCCCCCCCCCCCCCCCGCTTTTGCTGTCCACGATCCCAGATGAAGACTTCCTGCTGCGGGAACTGGCCTCTTGGAGAGGGAGTCTCACGCTGGGCCAGGTCCCCGAAGTCTGGCCTCGGTGTTGAGAGGAGCGAGCTTGTCCACAGATACGGGGGCCAGGGTTGCAGAGCTGGCACTCTGCCAAGGGTTTGACCTTCTCTGTCTCTCCGCTGCAGGTGGGCAGACAACTTCATGGCCCAGGGCTGCGGAGGGAGCAAGGAGCACAGCTTCCAGCATCCCTTTCTCCAGGTATCCACCCCATCCCTCCCCACCTCCTATCGCCTGGGCCTCAGGTCAGGTGTCCCCCGTGAGGCCCTACTGCTTCCTGACCTGGGGTGGAGCCTGCCTGTACTCCCAGAAGAGCCATCACTCCCTCCCTCCCTCGCCAGAACAGAGGCCAGGGTGTGAGTGCCCATGGAAGGGGGCAGAGGGCACAGCCCTCTCTGGGAGGGCTGCATGAGTCCCGGGAAGCAGTCATGCCCTGGACGCTGCAAGGCCAGCCCTCGCATGTCCACGTCAGGACCCATTTGGAACACATCAACCCCAGTAGCAAAACCGGCTCGTCATTCATGGGCAGCCCAGACTCCACTGGGATGGGGCAGACAACATAAATGGAAGGCACCATACGGCCAGACTGGGAAGCAGAGGCTCATATTTCAGCCCCTGCTCTCCCAGCAATTTGCTCTGTGACCCTAAGTAAGTTCCTGAGCCTCTCTGGGCCTCTGTTTCTCCATCTGGAACTTGACCAGAGGTTGGCCTAGATCAGTGGTTTTCAGACCAGGCCCTGTGCAGCCTTAGGGTTTCCATCGAGATGTTTCTAGGGGTTAGGGCTAAGGCCTAGGAGGTAGTCTCTGGTCTTCCACACACAGCAGCTCTGCTTTTGTCTGGTTTATGTGTCAAGTCATAGGTAAGCTTTCATGTGAAGACGGGCTGTGTTAAAATTTTGTCAAAGGTGATTCTCCTTCCAGCTGTGAACTTGTAGGGTTCCATCCCTGCAGGCAGTGGGCATGTTCCTGGGGGAGTTGTCCTGCCTGGCGGCCTTCTTCCTGCTCCGCTGCAGAGCTGCGAGGCACCCAGATGCCAGCATGGATCCTCAGCAGCCCTTCAACCCCCTTCTTTTCCTGCCCCCTGCCCTGTGCGACATGACGGGGACCAGCATCATGTATGTGGGTGAGTAGCCAGGCCAGGCTGAGAAGGGCCCGAGGGGGCACTGGTGAAACAGCCACCCCTACCCCAGCTCACCTCACCCCTGCCTCCTCCCATACTTACACACGCGTGTGCATGCGTGCGAGCAAGATTTACTGAGCACATACTATGTGCAAGGTGTGTCTTCAGCCCTGAGGGCACCTCAGAGACTAGATAGCCTTGGCCCTCAGGAGCTAACATCGTGTGTCTCTCTTCTCCCAGCCCTGAACATGACGAGTGCCTCCAGCTTCCAGATGCTCCGGGGCGCAGTGATCATATTCACAGGCCTATTCTCAGTGGCCTTCCTGGGGCGGAGGCTGGCGCTGAGCCAGTGGCTGGGCATCCTTGCCACCATCGTGGGGCTGGTCGTTGTGGGCCTGGCCGACCTCCTGAGCAAGCACGATGATCAGCACAAGCTCAGCGAAGTGATCACAGGTGCGGTGAGGGTCGGGGACCCAGGGGCTGCCCATCTTGTCCTGTCCTCCCTGAGAGCCCAGCACAGTCAGTCAACAGACTTTTGCAAGCTCTTCTCTATGCCCAGCCCTGGGTGTGGGTGCATGGGGGACGTGGGCCTGCATCTGCTCTCGAGGTGACAGATAGAATGCAGAAAAGCACAAGCAGCATGAGAGGGGGTAGATAAGGAGCGGGAGGTCAGAGGAGGGAGAAGGTTCGTGCTGTGACACACACACACACACAAATTGCTGGGTCTGGGATGGGGAGGGACCGAGTGTCTATTGAGTGTTTACCAAGTACCCAGCCCGGCAGCCTCTTCAGCAATGACGGGACCCCTCTGGTCCTCAGAGGATGGACTAAACCAGAAACGTCTATCACCAAGCCTTGTGCATCTCAGAAGACCTGCTTATTACCTTACTATGCCCCTCACAGGCCCAGGCGGGCCTCTGGATCTTCTGGAGCCTTGGCCCAGAGTGGTAACAGTGCCTGCCCTGCTGGCCTGCCCCACCCCTCCGGGGCCAGGAGACCAGGCATGGGGCTGTCATGACTGCCTCACGAACTACATGCTACCCTGCCAAATTGGGGGTTATTGTGTCCCTGTGGGAGCCGTCCACCCCAGCACTGGGCCCACCACCCTGCTGAGGGCCCCATGGCCATGCTCCGTCCTCGCCCCCCACCCCCACCCCATGCAGCCCAGCCTTACCCTGGCTCGCTTCCCCACAGGGGACCTGTTGATCATCATGGCCCAGATCATCGTCTCCATCCAGATGGTGCTCGAGGAGAAGTTCGTCTACAGGCATAATGTGCACCCGCTGCGGGCGGTTGGCACTGAGGGTGTGTGAGCACAGGGGCTGAGAGGGGTTGCTGCTGTGGGGGCACCCTGGACGGTGGCATGTGGAGGGGATGCACAAGCAGGAGTGCAGGGCAAGGTGCCGGGGTCCACGGGGAGGGGATGAGCCCCCACCCCCAATCCTCCCTCCCTTCCCGACGTGTGTGCTGACAGAGACTGACCCCAGAGCTGGGGGCGGGGACGAGGTCGAGGATGAAGGGGATGCACGCCCCACTCTAGAGGAGTTGGCCAACAGGTAAGGACCAGACAGTGCTTTTGAGCTCAGACCGCTTGTGCTCAAGTGCTGTTTCACTTGACAAGCACATCTGAGTGTCTTCAGGATGGGGAAGGTGGTGGTCGAGCTACAAGAGTGGGAAGGAGGGAAAGCTCCAGACAGAGCAAAGACATGGGGAGCTGGCCACGAGTGTCGAAACAAGTAAGGAGTGGTTGGTGAGATACAGGTTTGATGTTGGGACCCTGATCGGGAATTGAACAGGTCAGGGTCTTATTATGGAAAACCTTGAATGTCAGGCAAGTGGATTTAATCCAGACTTTAAGTGACAGACAGGGTGGAACCACCAAAAGTTTTTGAGCAGGGAAGTAACTACCAAAACGTTTAAGCTTTAAAAATACGAGGCCAGCAGGGCAGATGAGCTCAGCACAGACCACGTGTGGCCTGTGGACCCGGCAGGGAGCTGTGCGTGCACCACGGGCTCCTGGCACAACGTTAATCATCTCGATCCACCACGTCATCAAGCACATTGTTGTATCCACTCGGTTTTTCCCCAGTGAGGCTTTCTGAATGGAGCAGTGCGTTGATTCACATTCTGGTCCACTCCTGGTCACAGACCAGTGACCCTGAATTAGAGAACTCTTGTCTTTCCACGCTCGTGAGAGCAATGTCCTGGTCGCAGCTGCCATTCTTTTGTGAATGCACACAACAGAATTTAAGAATGCCAGAGAACATTGGCAGGGTAGCTATTATTTTGTGAAAGTGCGTGCGTGGGTACGCGCCTGTGCATACTTATACCGGTCACGATATAAAATGTATTTATTATTCTTGGTCCAGTCAGAAAACGTGATTAAAGTGGAGAAGGGCAGCTAGAGCCCCCTCTGGGCCGCTCTGCACTCTGGATGAACAGGAAGGAGCTGGTGTGAGGCCGCCCGGAGGGGTGGCTGGGAGGGAGGGAGACCAGCGCAGCCCCTGCTGGGTGGGCTGAGCTAGGGATGGGGAGGGGTGGGGTGGGAGCTGAGCAGAGAGTGCAGCGTGCTTCCTCCACCCCCACAGGCCTCTTTGGCTTCGTGATCCTGTCCCTGCTGCTGGTGCCCATGTACTACATCCCCGCCGGCTCCTTCAGTGGAAACCCCCGAGGGACGCTGGAGGACACGCTGGACGCCTTCTGCCAGGTGGCCCGACAGCCACTCATCGCCCTGGCGCTGCTGGGCAACATCAGCAGCATCGCCTTCTTCAACTTTGCGGGCATCAGCGTCACCAAGGAACTGAGCGCCACCACCCGCATGGTGCTGGACAGCCTGCGCACCATTGTCATCTGGGCACTGAGCCTGGCGCTGGGCTGGGAGGCCTTCCACCCTCTGCAGATCCTGGGCTTCTTCATCCTCCTGATGGGCACCGCCCTCTACAATGGGCTGCACCGCCCGCTGCTGACCCGCCTGGCCAGGGGCCGGCCCTCAGCAGACGAGGGCGAGCATGAGAGACTGCTCGCTGGTCCTCGGACTCCCATCAATGATGCCAGCTGAGCCTCTGGTGGGTTCTCTGCTGCTACCTGGATGCACCTTGTCCACCCTGAGGCCGAGGGCACACAGTGGACAGTGTGCTGTCCCCAAGGCCTCACCCTGCCCCTCCTCTCAGACCCCCGATCCCCCCCAGAGCAGCTGCTGCCACAGGAGATGACCAGACACCCGGGTGCTCCTTTGTCACCACCCCCTACAGCCCCCACAGGCCTGAGTGTGGTGACCTACCCCCTGCCAGGTTCCCACCCCACACCCCGCAAGCCCCTCCTGCAGCTCTAGCACTAAATCATGAAGTGGTACTGCAGGAACTAACAACCCTAAGATTTCCTCCTAAATCATAAGCTAAATTTGGTTCTCCAGAGAAGAGGGGCCAGTGAACAAATTCAAACCAGAACTAAGCGCCGTATTTTCTAGAACTTGTAGGCTCTTCGCTAACCCTGTCTTGGAGACCTGAGTTTTAGCTGGACTCTGCCACAAACTCAGCATATGTCCCCCAGCCCATTACCTACTGGCCCTGGGCCTTGGGGTCCCGTCTGTAAAGCAGAAGGTGCAGATGCTGTGGCTTCCGTACCTTCCAGCCTCAGCCGGGCCCATCCTGTGGGAAGGGAGGAGCCCATTCTTTGGAAATGCCCCTTTGCCCACAGTGCCTCCTCCCCATGCCAGTGTTGGTCCTTGCTCCCACGCTCTCAAGGCCTCCCTGCCTGGGGGAGATGTCAGGGGGAACTCCAAGCAGCCCTTAATAGCAGCTTTTATGAACTCTTCACCTTCCATTTTAAAGATGAAAAGACTGAGGCCCAGAGACATAAGTGGTTTTGTAAGAAGGCTCTCCTGCTGTGGACTCTGGCCATGCACTTGGGATCCAGAGCACATCGGGACCTCAGCCCCACCCCCAGCAACCTGACTCCCTAAATATCCCTCCAGGGTGATGAATTTACCAGCACTGCACCATTTAGAGTAATTCTGGTATCCTAGGCATGTGTTAAATGCTCAGCAATAGCCCTCTGGCGTAACAACCTGCTCAGGTGTGTGCAGATGAGGAAGCCGTGGCCCAGAGGTGGTTAACTGGCTTCCTCAACGGAGCCAGCAGTCCAAGCTAGGTTTGCCTGATTCCAAACCTACAGCTCCACCCACCATACAGGTCTCTGGGGCCTTTGGGGTAAATTTCCCATGGCCAGAATAAAAGCTTCATGTGCTTTTGTCCTCCCCACCCTGAAGAGAGGGAACTGGCATTGGGGACCCCAAGGAGCAGAGCAGCCCTTCCTTATGGAGTTCCTCATTCCGTGGCAGTTTCTGGAACCTCAGACCATTTTTCTGGGCAGCTCAATCAAAACAAAACACCGAATGCCTTCCTTAAAATAGGTTCTGGGGGAAGGGATCTTTGACAAGCAAAGCCCTCAGGCTGTGTGGAAATCAGCAGGTTATTACAGTTTATTGGGAGAGGAGGGCCTCTCCATGCCACCAGCTCCGAGTCCCAGGGGCCCCGGAGCTTCTGTGGGTCACAGTGTGTGCCACAAAAGAAGGAAATGGAGGGCGAGTGTGGTGGGGACTCCAGCCGCCCTGTCCAAAAGAACTGGGGCCTTACAATGTCGTTTTAGGCTCTATTTTTAAAAACAAAAGGGAAATTGGCAGTGTGGCTTTTTTTTTTTTTTTTTTTTTTTAATGGGAGGGAAGGAGCACAAGGGTTAAACATCAGGCCTGCCACCAAATCGGGCAAATCACTTTACGTCTGGAGCTTTGGGTCTTCACATCTCTAAAACAGGAAAGCCGGCCCTCCATCTTGCCGGATGAACACGAAAATCACATGAGATAATAAACCGAAGGTGCCTGTAAATGCCAGTGCACGGTGGACAGTCGTGTCAGGCCGCACTGCCCACCAGTGTGGTCTGCCGGGGGCACGAAGTCCCAGCAGAGGCCCAGCGCGGAGCATCAGCTTTTGCTCAGAGGGGAAGAAATGTTTTAAAATACACCATCATGGAAAAAAGTACACCATCATTGAGGAGAATACAAAATTCCCATCTATCTTAAGACAAAACAAGATGCCTCAAGAACACTTTATGCCTTTGGTAGATACCCTCCCAGCCCCCAGAGATGCGTTCACTCTCCTGTCGCTCAGGGGTGCTCTGGAGGGTGAGTTTGAGAGGTCTTGCTGGTCGTGTGGGCGGGAGGGTAAGGACCACCACTCTCTCTCGCTGAGTGGAGTAAGGGGGTTCGGAATGGTGGAAGTTTGGTGTGGAGGTTCCGAACACCAAAATCAGAACTGACTGATACTGGGCTTCTGTAAACATCAGTTCGAAGACTGTAATTTAAACCATGTGCATCGTAGCAGACTGCTCAATCCCTGCCCCTTGCAAAGTGGTCTTGGAAGGAAGCCTAGGGCAGGGGCTACCTGCAGGACTGCCATGCAGCACCTGGGGTGGCCCTCGGGCTCCGCCACCAGGAATCTGCCCGCAAGGCAGAGATTTAGCACCATACCAAGTGGTTCCATTTGGCTTCACTTTGACCAAAGGTCTCTGCTAGTTTAAGAAACAGCACTCAAAGAGGTCAGATCTCTGACCCCTGCTGAGGACAGTAGGAGGAGTGGAGCAAAGGGCCTCCTGGTATAGAGGAAAGAAGTAGAACCAGAATCAGCTGTGTTCGCAGCCCCGCTTCGACTTTGGGTGACCTTGGACAAATCACGTTACCTCTCAAGACCTTAGCTACCTAACAGGTTCTCAGCGTTACTAAATATGTATACCTTCCTGACCCGCTTACAGATTAACCTCATGCTTTCATATTTGCCTTGGTTAAAAGCCCCTTTGGCCTTTTGTTGACTACATCCTTTCTAAACTTAAGGTCAGCAGAGAACTTCCCCTAGCTATAAAAGTTTATAAATCACCCATCTTCATTAGGAACACTTGTCAAAAAATCTTCAGTAAAGGATTACTATCTCAGAATTTAGCCAACTGTACTGGGAATGGATGTGCCCCAAGGGCTGTGGATCTGTGAAAGAAAAACAGGAGACAAATGCGTAAAGAAAGAATGCAGGCACAGTGTGATGTGCACAAGAGGCCTTTGTATGAGATACAAAGGAAGCTGTACAGGAGCGATCAGCTAACTCAGCCTAGAACCAGAGAGCTCCACTCGAGCTGGGTGTTAAAGACTGGGCAAGATTCCCCGGGGAGACTTCCTCCAGGAGGAAGGAGCAGCTTGTAAAAAAGCACGGAAACATGTAAGTGATGTACTCAAGAACTGCAGGGAAGTAGACAGGTATGCCAATAAGCATGCAATGCTAAAAGTGGCCAGAGACAAGGTCAGAGAGGTGGACAGGCGCCCAGGTGGTGCTGTACCTTTTAGATTTTGCTGAGGCATGAGAACTCCGTCTGTAGACAGTAGAGTACCCTGGGGGAGTTTTAAGCAAGGGAGTGATGTGATCCAAACTGCTGTTTGGAAAGATCACTAAAGGCAGAGACCAGTGAAACAACGTTTAATTAATTAGAGTCTGAACTAGAGAAATGGTGAATGAATGCAAGAGCCATTCAAGGAGTGAACTTAATTTTAGAGCCCTTGGCTGTCAGATCTTCTATTGCATAAGCCATCACCAAAGAGTGGGTCTTCTGGACCAGACTGCTCACCCCACCTTCCATCACAGTGGACCCACGGAGTGTCCCCAACTACAGCTGCTTCCCTTTTCTTTCCTGCCTTCCTTTGCCCTTTTTTCCCTCATTTTAAAACTCGTAAAATACACACAACAAAACATCATTTTGACCATTATGAAGTGTTCAGTGGCATTAAATTCTCCTTGTTGTGCAGCGGTCCCCACCATCCAACCCTAGAACTTTTTTATCTTCCCAAACTGCAACTCTGTACCCATTCAACACTACTCCCCATTCCTCCTTTCCTGTGAGCCCCTGACAACCACTATCCTACTTTCTATGAATTTGACTACTCTAGGTACCTAATGTAAGTGGAATCATGCAATAGTTCTCCTTTTGTGTCTCTTGTGTTTTGCTTACCACAATGCCTTCGAGGTTTATTCATGTTGTAACATATGTCAGAATTTACTTTCTTTTTAAGGCTGAATACTATCTCATTGTATGTATGCACTACATTTTGTTTATTCATCCATTTGGACATATTGGGCTATTGTGAATAACATTGCTGTGAGCAAATACCCGTTCAAGTCCCTGCTTTTAATTCTTTTGAGTGTATACCCAGAAGTGGAATTGCTGGACCATATGGTAATTCTACATTTAATTTTTTTGGCTGATCAACATACTATTTTCCACTCTGGCTGCACCAGTGAACAAGGGTTCCATGAAATCACTGATTTCATAATGACATTTTCCCTGATTACAATACATGTTAACTGGAGAACATTTAGAAAATGCAAGAAAACAAAGTGTAGAAGATAAAATCTCCTTTATTCTAACTATCCAGATGTACATTTGGCCGGAAGGCGTATTATCTCAACATGAAGGGAAGGGGTCGTTTCCCTAGGAGGATTCTATTGCAGTGCTGGAGAGTGTGATCCAAGACATGGTCATATCCTGGCTGTCCCACGACCCCAGTCATCAATAACGTTCATGCAGGTAAACTGGCTTCTGAGCCATATTCGTGGGGTGTTCCTGGGAGGGTCACAGGGGCGACAAGGGGTTGTCCCATTCTCTGTGGGTCTGTCTCCTCATCTTTAAAAACCACTTTCGGGTTAATAGGCCAAAACACAAAATGTTTGAATAAAGTGATTTCTCTTGAGAAACGCGTTCTGCAAACGCACTAACTACATCTTCAGGGTAGAGCTTTCTATTGCCAGCCACAGGGCGCCGGAGGACGAGGGTCCGATCTCTTAGAACTGAGCACCCGCCCCAGCAAGCAGAGGGCAGCAGTTCCCGCCTCCTTTAACTTCTCCAGATTCCCATTGGCTGATTCCTACCGTCGATCCGTCACGTCCCCGCTCTCTCCTCCTATCGCCGCGCGCCGCTAGCCTTCCGGCCTGTGCTCTCATTGGCCCTCCGCGCAGTCGTTCTGCGCCAGGGGCGTTCCAGAGGCAGCCACTGGGAGTTGCTGAATTCGTTTAAAAAACGCCGCCAGTGAAGTGGCGCCGCGGGCCCTGGAACCGCGGCGGCGCGGGGGGCGGCTGGAGCACTCACCTGGTCGGGGCACGCGGCCGGGACGTTCCCGGGCTTCTCCCCGGACGCCAGCCTCTGTCCCCGGAGCCCGAAGGCCGAGAAGAAGCCGCGGGGCCGCCACTCTCCGCGCCCGGCATGGGCCCGCGCCGCCGGACCCGCAAGCCCGAAGTCCCGAGGAGGCGCACCGTGAGCCCGGCCCCCGGCCCCCCCCGGCGGGGCCCCTTAGGTAACCGGCCGCGGCCCCTTGCCCTCGAGCCGGCCGCCTTGCAGCCTGGCTGTGATCCGCTTGCCCCTTTCACAGACCAGAAAACCGAGCTCGCTTGCGGAGCCCGGGTCCGAATCTCCCGACTTCCGGCTGGCGCTCCCCTGCGGGTGGGCAAAGCCCTGCTGCGGGTGCACCTGCTCGGGCCCGGCCCAAGTTCCAGGGCCCGCAAGGGCCTGGGGAAAGCAGTTCAGAGGAGGAGAAAGGATGGCCCAGGCGGCCTGGCTCCTAATACTAATTCTTGCTACAGCTCGCATTTGAGTAATTACCACTAACCAGGCATTGTGTTCAACTCCTTGCGTGAATTATCCCAACTTTACATTGTGCCCATTTTACAGATGAGGAAACTGATGCAGACAGGCCCGGTAACTTGAACAGGGTCACACAGCTTGCTCCAGCAGTCAGGATTTTTAAGTGTTTGTGCTTTTTCTAAATTGCAAAATTATCGGCTGCTTTTTGGGACAATTTCAAACAATTCTACTTCTGGAAGGTGCCCTTCCAGGTGTCCTTATGCATGTGTGTGTTTCTTCAGTAGTGGCGTTGTTGGGCATTAAGTAGAGTGCTCTCACCTTGTTCCCTTCCTGAGGTTTTGGGCCTTGAAAGAAGACAGGTCTGTGGTCCTGTGGTCTGGTGGATGGGAGACCCACGGAGCAAGAACTGTTCCTTGGGGCAGCAGCTGCTTTACTTGTCTCCTGCTCCATAGTTAAGAGCAGGGTGAAGAAAGTGTATTATGGGTTATTTTCTTTCCTGAACCTTAACTTTTTTTTTTTTAAGATTTTATTTATTTATTTGACAGAGAGACACAGAGAGAACACAAGCAGGGGGAGCAGCAGAGGGAGAGGGAGAAGCAGACTCCCTGCTGAGCAGGGAGCCCGACCTGGGGCTCGATCCCAGGACCCCAGGATCATGACCTGAGCCGAAGGCAGATGCTCAACCGACTGAGCCACACAGGCGCCCCTTTCCTGAACCTTAATAACCTTTGCATCCAGCCAACTTGCTGAATTCTCTTGTTAATTCTATTGTTCAGTTGCTTTGATTGAAATGATTGAGTAGGTTATTGTCTGCAAATAAGGACTTTTTTTCTTTTTTTTTTTAAGATTTATTTATTTGACACAGAGAGAGAGCACAAGCAGGGGGAGCAGCAGAGGGAGAGGGAGCAGAGAGGGAGCAGACTCCCCACTGAGCAGGCTTCATCCGAGGATCCCTAGATCATGACCTGAGCCAAAGGCAGACAAGACGCTTACCCGACTGAGCCATCAAGGCGCCCCTGCAAATAAGGACTTTTGAATCTTCTTTTTCACTTTTATATATTTTATTTCCTAGTGTATTTTATTAATGAGGCCCTGAGATTAGTATTGAAATAAGAGCAATGTTTTGGCCATCCTTGTCCTGTTTCTTTTCTTTCTTTCTCTTCTTTTCTTTTTTTTTTTTTAAGTAGGCTCCACGCCCAGAGTGGAGCCCAGCCTGGGGCTTGAACTAACGACCCTGAGATCAAGACTTGAGCTGAAATCAAGAGTCCCACGCTTAACTGACTGAGCCACCCAGGTGCCCCCCCCCACATTTCTATTTTTAACACAAATACTGTTAAGTATGTTGTTAGCTGTTGCTTTGCTTTTGCTTGTGCTCCTGGTTAAATTAAATGTTTTATCTCAAATGGACACTCAGCAGGTCCTGGCAGTCCTGCTTTTCCATTCTCCCCATTGACTATTCCATACCTTTTTCTTCAAATTCCTACAACTCCAGCCCCCCAACTCACTCTCAGCTGATGATGACCTTGTTGCATGTCTGCTTCACTGAGGAAACAAGCCTCCAGACTGCATTCCCCTTATCTTCTCACAACAGAGAACCCCGGTCTCCCCTTTGTATCAAAAGCCACTCCTACTACATGGGCTCTTGGTCATATTTTTCTCTCACCTTTGCTGGGCTTTCTGTTAGCCTTTCCACCTGCACTTAGAATTAAATTCATACTCCTTACATTGGCATTCCACAAATGTGCTCTGCTCTTTCTGATCTAAAGAAAAAGAGCAGGGGTGTTTCCTGTCCCCACACCTCTGTCTCTCCTAGTCCCCGTTTCTCTCTAGTGCCTTTCATAGCCACCTTTTTGTAAATGGCCAGACTTAAGATGACTTAAGACTTCGCACGTGTGTGTTTCCCCTCTTCCCAGGCACCCTGGAACCCATTCCAGTCTGCCTCCCCACAACTGCTTCCCCTCCTTCTGGTGCACGTGAGGTACTCTTCTCAAGGTCACCAGCCACTTTAGTGTTGCTAAATCCAGTAGACACGTGTGTGTCCTCTTGCTCTGAGAAGCATTTGACACAGGGGGCCACTTTCTCCTAGAAACACTATCCCCTTGGCACACACTCTGCCGTTCCTGCCTAGTGTTCCTTACTGCCCGTGCCACCTCTCCATAACAACTTGATGTTGGACTCCTTGCTGTCCTTCTCCTTTCTTTCCTTCCCCAAGTGGTCCCATCCACTCCCAGGGCTCTGCATACCACTCCTACATCAACCACGTTCATGTTTATATCTCTGGCCCAGATCTCTCCTCTGACTCCAGATCCCCATATCCAGCTGCCTTTCCACATGCAGGTCCTGGGTTTGTCAGTGGAACATGTCTAAAACCAAACTCTTGATTACTCCCTTCCAGTCTTGTCAGCTGCAGTTTTCCCCATTTTAGGAAATGGCACAAGCATCCCCTAGTTGTGTAAGCCAGAAACCTGGGAGACCTTCTCTTATCCCCAAACACAAGTACCTTCGGGCCGTTCTACCTCCAAGTCACATCCTTCATCACACCACTTGTCAGCTCTACTCCCACCTGCTAGTCCCAGCCACCAGTGCCCTAACCTGGCTGCTACTCTTCTTGCACTCTCGTCCCTCGCCGCAGCTGGACTCATCGTTAAAACGTCAATAGAGGGGGCCTGAGTGGCACAGTCGGTTAAGCGACTGCCCTCGGCTCAGGTCATGATCCTGGAGTCGCAGGATCGAGTCCCGCGTCGTGCTCCGTGCTCTATAGGGAGCCTGCTTCTCCCTCTGACCCTCCCCCCTTCCTGCTCTCTCTCTCTCTCGTTCTCTCTCTCTCAAATAAATAAATAAAATCTTTTTGTGTTTCTGTCAGGTAAATAAAATCTTTAAAAATAAATAAATAAAATAAAATGTCAATAGATCGGGGCACCTGGGTGGCACAGTTGGTTGAGCGTCTGACTCTTGGTTTCCGCTCAGGTCTTGATCTCAAGCTTGTGAGAGCAAGCACCATGGTGGGTGGGCTCTGCGCTCAGCGTGGAGTCAGCTTGAGGTTCTCTCTCCCTCTGCCCCTCCCCCTGCTCATGCTCTCCTCTCTCTCTCAAATAAATAGAGCATGAGCAGGGGGAGGAGCAGAGGGAGAGGGACAAGCAGATTCTCAGGACCCTGAGATCATGACCTGAGCTAAAGTCAGACTCTTAACCGACTGAGCCACCCAGGTGCCCCAATAAGTAAATCTTTAAAAAATTAATAAATAAAATGTAAGTGGATCACCTCTCTGTCTTGCTTAAAACTCTCCCATAGGGGTGCCTGGGTGGCTCAGTCGTTAAGCGTCTGCCTTCGGCTCAGGTCATGATCCCAGAGTCCTGGGATCGAGCCCCACATCGGGCTCCCTGCTCCGCGGGAAGCCTGCTTCTCCCTCTCCCACTCTCCCTGCTTGTGTTCCCTCTCTCGCTGTGTCTCTCTCTGTCAAATAAATAAATAAAATCTTTAAAAAAAAAAAAAAAAGAAAAGAAAACTCTCCCATAGCTTCCCATTACTTTGGGATTAAATCCCAACTCCAAATGTTGGCACTGCAAGACCCAACAATTGAGTATCTAACCCCAGTTCTTTCCCGTGATCTCTCTACTTGGTTACTTTTCATAACCACTTGTTCCGGGGCCGGATTTCAGGTTTTCTCTTACACCTCTGAGGCCATTAGGCATATTTCTCTCCAAGTCTCTTTTTTCTCTGTTAACTCAGATTCCTCCAGTATTGATTATTTTGTTTGTTGAGTTTGGTTCCTTCCTTTCATAGTGTTGTCCTTCTCACATTGGTGAGATTTGGTTGTGTTCATCTTTCTATTGTCTGTGACTGCTGTGTCTGTCTATTAAAGGCTGCCTCCAAGTGAGTGTGGATTGTGGACCAGTGGCAGGGGAGGCAGATGCCAGGAGCCTGACTCCTGAGTGTGGGGCTTCCCTCCTAAATGTCACCGGTCCCCTGATCTCTGGCCCGCGTTCCCCACCCAGAGATAACATCTCCAGTGCCCGCTGCGTGGCACGGGCAGCTCTGGATTGCCTCACTGTCCCCATTTGCTCATGCAGCTCTTCTAACACTTTGTAATTAGGTCACTATTAAATCCCTCCTGTGGATTTACTACTTGGTGTGGCTTCTCTTTCCTAGGCTGGACCTTGAGTAAAATTTCTGAAGCTAATTTTCCCCTTCAAAATGTTAGTTTTGGGGGCACCTGGGTGACTCAGCCGGTTAGGCGTCTGCCTTCGGCTCAGGTCATGATCTCAGGGTCCTGGGATCGAGCCCCGCGTCGGGCTCCCTGCTCCGTGGGGAGCCTGCTTCTCCCTCTCCCTCTGCCTGCTGCTCCCCCTGCTTGTGCTCTCTCTCTCTCTCTCTCTCTGTCAAATAAATAAATAAATAATCCTATTTAAAAAAGTGTTAGTTTTCATGGAGGTTTGTTCTCTTTTTATTCTTTGTTCAGCTGAGCGGTTTACTGATTTTTGTTGTTCCTTGGTTTTATTTATCTAACGATCGTACTGTTTTTTGTTTTGTTTTGTTTTACTCTCTTTTCCATTAATTTATTTTACTATCTTGAACATTTGGTTATCTTCTTTTGGTGTATTTTAATAATTCTCTTCCTAACACTTGAGTTGAATACTGAGCTCAGCTGCCTTTTCAATCTTGAGCCTGTGCGTTTTCTTCTAGTACTATTTAGCTATAGCTCATAAGTTTTGAGATGTAGACTTTTGATTCACTTCTAAATAGTCTAATGTCAATTAAGTTTCCTCTTCAACACAAGAGTTAGAAGTTTTTTGTTTGGTTGGTTGGTTGGGTGTTTTTTTTTTGGATTCTTGTGTTTTTAATTTCAAATCAGAGAGTTTGGCTTTTTTGACCTCTACTTTTGGGAATATTTTTAAGATTTTTTTTTTCTTTTTTGTTGTTGTTGGAACTGGTCTTTGAGCCAAAGGCGTCTGGCTCCATAGCCCAATGCCCAACACAGGGACCAAGTTATGCCACGTCTGAGGTCCCTTCTTGGCCACAAATAAGCTCTGGCCGGGCACCTGGGTGGCTCAGTTGGTTAAGCGACTGCCTTCGACTCAGGTCATGATCCTGGAGTCCCTGGATCGAGTCCTGCATCGGGCTCCCTGCTCGGCAGGGAGCCTGCTTCTCCCTCTGACCCTCCCCCCTCTCATGTGCTCTCTGTCTCTCTCATTCTCTCTGTCTCAAATAAATAAATAAAATCTTTAAAAAAAAAAACAAAAAAAAAACAAATAAGCTCTGGCCAATTGTCTTCACCTCTTTGGGCCTCAGGATAACTGAGACAGGGAATTGTGCTAGAGAACCTCTCAGATTCCTTCTAGCTCTTAAAAAAAAAAAAAAGACAACATAAAATAACTGAGTTTCCAATCTAGATGGGAAAGATAGAAGAAATGACCAAAGTACTGCAGGGCTCAGAGGAGGGATGGGACTCAGGAAAGGCTTCATGGAAGAGTTGACATTTAAGATAATACCCTCAAAGGATTTTTATTGAGGATAAGATCCTCAGAGGATCACTCATTCATTTAACAAATATTTATGTAGCATCTATCCACTGTTCTCCAGTTGCTGAAGATAATCAGAGTAAATGGTAAACTAGTGATCTGACAGTCTGCCTGTCACAGCCATGCTGAGAGGCACCACTACTGACCACGACCCTTGCTGACACAACTCTTTTGCCCAGGCACTCCCTCCCGTCAGCGTGGTCCCCGGAGATCCCGGGTTCTGAAGGAGATCCGAACGCTTCAGAAGAGCACAGCCCTGTTGATAAGGAAGAGCCCCTTCAGCCGCCTGGTGAGCTCCACCAACCCCCATGCTGCCTCCTTTCTTTAAATCTCCCAGGTAGTGGGGACTGATTCATCTCTTGCCTGAATGGCTAAGGGAACCTCTTCTCTAACCTGGAAGAGGACTCTTCATCTTTGGAAACCATGAGCCCACTGAAGGCACCTCTGGTTCTTTATGGAATTAATTTCTAACCCCCACCACCTCTGAAACTGTGCCCTTTGATTATATAAATAGGAACTCTCTCATCTATCCATGCTTTGAGCTCCCTTCCTACCCTGGGAGATACCCTTCCTCCTCTCCCCACCACTAATAGGACTGATGCCAATTCCACAGCTCCCAGGAGTTGACACCAGCTACTAGTTAGGTCCTAAGATTAAGGGCCACAAAGGTATCACGGAAATGAAGATTCATAGAAACTCATGGAGAGAATCTTCCCCTTGAATCTCTCTTCTTTTACTGTCTACTCCTCCCCACTCCCCTCCTCCCTTGCTCCCCATGCCCCTCCTTCACAGGCAAGAGAGATATGCATTACATTCACTCGCGGTGTGGACTTCTCTTGGCAAGCCCAGGCCCTGTTGGCCCTACAAGAGGTAAGAAGGGGGCCCAGGTACGGTTGGGTGGGGACAGGGGAAAGGCATTCTGGAATTCCACAGGGCTGACTGAGGCGTGCCACACACTGACTCTTGCCTCTTTTTTTTTTTTTTTTTTTTAAGATTTTATTTATTTATTTGAGAGAGCGAGAATGAGAGAGAGTACATGAGAGGGGGGAGGGTCCGAGGGAGAAGCAGACTCCCCGCCGAGCAGGGAGCCCGATGCGGGACTTGATCCCGGGACTCCAGGATCATGACCTGAGCCAAAGGCAGTCGCTTAACCAACTGAGCCACCCAGGCGCCCGACTCTTGCCTCTTTAAAGACAGCATCAAGGAACACCTGGGGTTTGGAGGCCGGATCCTTGTGTGGTGGTAGCAGAATTCCCAGGCACAGTCCACCCTCATTCTGTGGGCAGCGTTTCAGACAGTGCTGGGAGCCCTCAGAGACCAAGGGCAGCGGGACTCCGAGAACAAAGCAGCCCATGCCCCGTCGTATATCAGTCTTTGGACTTGTCTCTCTGCCCCCAGGCCGCAGAAGCATTTCTAGTTCATCTCTTTGAGGACGCCTATCTTCTGTCCTTACATGCCGGCCGTGTTACTCTCTTCCCGAAGGACGTGCAGCTGGCCAGGAGGATCCGAGGCATTCAGGAAGGGCTTGGCTGAGCCCCTGCCCCCATCTCTGTAAGCCTTTCCTGCCCGCCGCAGAGAGAGCGCCCTTTGGGAAAGAAGCCCCCAGCCTCTCATCCCTGCGATGGGAGTTCCTCTGAAGGAATTTCCATCCGTGGTCCCTTGCTGTCTCACCTTCCCTTTGTTCTCTAGGAAAGGTCTGACTTGGTTTTAGCTTGAATGCTTGGGGTTCTATGGCTCCTGCCCTTTTGTACAATGTTAAATAAAAATATTTATCTATCTACTAATGTCCAGACGACATGAGTCTGTTAGAGTTCAGCCTCTGTCTTACAAGGACCAGATGACTCATTGTGATTAAGAGAAGTTTTGCTTTTGAAAATGCCTTGGTAGTAAATGTGATACCTGACTTCCAGGGATGACACCAGAGCCTCTGTCTGGAGCCAAGGAACAGATCCGTGGAGGGTAAGGAGGCGTCTGGACTCACTGTCCCTGAGCAGGGTGCATGCAGCTTTTGTAACTGGTTCTTTCAAGGAGAAAACTGTATGGCTTTCCTCTGTAACAGAGGTAATATATGAGAAAATCAACAGCATTCCAAAGGACTGAGAATTCTTTTTAGATAATGAGACTCCAAGGTTCGCTTCAGTTTGCAAATGATTCACATGACCGCTGAATGATTTTGAAGACATCAGACTTTCTGGGCTATGGAAAAAATGGATATTTGCTTATTATTTTAGATCTTCCTGTACTGCTTACATTTTTTGCCATACGTATATTTACTTTTCTTTGAAACATAAGGGAAAAAAATAAAAGGCGACCACTTCGTTCAGTTGCACAGAAGAGCCTGGAACATCTGCCCACAAATCTGTCCTTCGGTTAAGCTCACCTGAGCGGCAGCAGAAAGTGAGGCATGGACCGTGCCTGCCAACAACTGTGTAGCTTTTTAAAAAACTCAATTGGGGTTAAAATAGAAAATCTTTAAGTCCTGATGTTCTCGTTCCTTTGAGTAAATTCCTGTCAAACTCATTCAGAAATTTGTAAATCATAGATGACATCATGATTTATACTTTAGAATTTTTCATCCCGGGATTTTAAAGTGCCTTTTCAAAGTTTTTACAGGTGTTTTTATAACTTCTTTGTGGAGAGATAAAAAATAAGAATATTTCTTTGATGAAAAAACTGTAAAGCAAAGTTGGTTACTGCACGTAGATATGCTACATTTTTGGTGTGTTCATGTTCGGTTCTCCATTTGTACGCCATGTTGCAAGCAGCCACCATTTAAACAAGAGAATGGAGGGATGTGTTTTGGGCTCCAGTGGAGGAGAGTGTGAGCGGATAAAAACCTTGCCCTTCTGTTGCAACCGAAAGCAGTTGAAGAGATTTCCAGAGAAATGGAAAGGGCCACTGGAAGACTTTTAGACTTTGCATGTGATGGAAATGATTAGTGAGGGTGGACCTCTGACAATGATGTGTCAGGTGACCCAAGTTCCAAGACGAATGAAGGGAAGGACCAAGTTCTGTTGTTGAATAAATTTTAACCCTTTGGAAAAACCTCTTCTTGTTCAACATCAAGTCCTATTTATACAGACATTCGAATAAAGTGTATCTACTGATGAATATACTTAAAGTTCTTGTCAGTATTATTAATTAGAAGATTATAGTCTGCCTTGGGGCGCCTTGGTGTTTCAGTTGGTTAAGTGTCTGCCTTCAGCTCAGGTCATGATCTCAGGTTCCTGGGATCGAGCCCTGCATCGGGCTCCCTGCTCAGCAGGGAGCCTCCTTCTCCCTTTCCCCACCCCACCCCCCTGCTTGTGCTTTCTCTCTCTCTCTCAAATAAATAAAATCTTAAAAAAAAATTATAGTCTGCCTTTAGTTTTCTTTAAATTGACACCTCTGCTCTCCTAAAATTGTACTAACCACTGGCTCCTGGCTGGCTCAGTCACTACAGTATGCAGCTCTTGACCTTGGGGTTGTGACTTCAAGGCCCAAGTCAGGCAGGGAGACTACTTTTTAAAAAAATTTTTTTTTTAGTAAATTAAATTGTACTACCCAGGACACATGCAACACATACCACATGCCAGGCAGGAGCCACCAGGTGGAATTTACAGGGTAGCATGAGAATAAGTAACTCACTTGTTTTTCTGGATGATTCCATCCACATTATCTTTCCATTTGATCTTTTATTTCTGCTTTCACCTTTTTAATATCTGAGAACTCTTAGCTTTGGAATGTTTCCTCATTACAGTATCCCAGTCCGTCAGTGTTTACTCAAAAAAAACAGAAACCAGCCTAGGTATTTCAAACAAAGAATTTAATGGAAGGGATTGTTTAATTAATATCAGGAGGACTGGAAGAGCAAACGGGAGAGGATGCTACCCAGAGATCAGGAAGCCTCCGGCGCCTGCAGCCCACACCACGGCCGCTCTGCTGGAAGCACGCCACCCCCCCCCCCCGACCCCCACCAGGACCCTGTTAGAGCCGCACTTGCTACTGAGCGGGAACTCAGGCAGCCCTGCTCCAACCAGTCCTGCTGACGCCACCACTGACCCCAAGGATGCCCTGGCCCTCCTCTGCAGCTTCTGCTGCCACAGGCCCTGCCAGATCGCAAAAGGAAAATGTCTCTTTTTTCTTCCCACTTTCCAGGCCCCACCAGTATTTTCCACTGGCAGAACTTAACCAGAAGCAGCTACAGGAGAGTCTGGAAAAACGATTGGCTGCCTTCTAACCCCCTTGTGTTACAGAGAACTTGTAGGGTGAGAAAGGAGCTTGGAGCCTACAGAAACATCATCTGCACACGTCCCCAGTCTCATGGGTGTAATGCCATTTTAAGGATATTTATTAGGATTTCTTTGTTACTGATTTTTGTTTTTGCCACATGGTCTCTCTGTTTTCCAAGTTGATACTTTTCCTGTACAGACAGGTCTCTCACTCATGACAGGACTTGCCTGGGAGCCTAGCTGGGGAGTGCCTCCTGGGCCCTTTGCTGGGGAGCCCCGTTCTCTCTGCTAGCCGGCTGCCCTCGGAGAGTCATCAGCCTGCAGGGAGGAGAGAGGCCTAGCTGGGTCTAGTTGCTGGCTGGAAGAGAGCTGAGGCAATCCATATTTAAAATCCACTGCATCCTTACTCTCCTTGGCTTCCCCCCATCCCACACCAGAGCCCCGAACCCCAAGCATCCAGACTTGTGCTGGGATGGGGAAGAGAGTCACCCGGTGAGTGAGGGCTGGGAGAGGAGCACTGGGGGAGCTGCCTCCTCAACAGTGCAACCGGTCCTCCCTCCCATTAGCCCGGCTCATGTACACCTAGTTGCAGAGGGACTCGGCGCTCCCAGTACCTGAGCCTTGTAAAGATTTTGCCGTGTGGGTTGTGGTGGTCCTCCCTTTCCGCCTGCTAGCTGAGGATCCCACTCTTGTGGGTCTGTGGGGCTGTTCCTATCATCCATCTGCCTGCCAGCTTTTAGGACTTCAGTACTGTTGGCTCCTCTCCCCATCTCCCCATCCCTGTGGATTCATGCTGAGCCTCTGACTGTAGAGAATTGGAGATTGGCAGCTGTTAGCTTTCTTCACAAGAGAAAGGTGATTCCACTATTTTCTGGGTTCTATGTTTGCTGCTGAGAAGTCAGCCGTCAGTCCCAACAGTTGCCCCTTTGAAGCTAGTGTCATTTTTCTGGTGATCTCTCCTTAAAAGATTTTTCTTCATTTTTGGTATTCTGCAATGTCATTATGACCTGTCATGTGTGTGGATTTATTTTTATTTATCTTAACAGCATTCATTGGGCTTCCTGGATAGGGGTGATGTCTTTTCATCAATTTTGGAAAATTCTCAATCATTATCTCTTCAAATAATGCCTCTCCCCATCTCTCTCCTCTTTCTGGGTTGCCGGTTTTCTTACTACTGAATCCTCGATGATGTTTCTTTCCTTCTTCTGTGTTCCATCCTTTTGTCTCTCCCTTGCTGCCCACCTAACTGTTTCTTCTGCCCTGCCTTGGAATTCATTGATTTTCTTTCAGCAACATCTAATCCACTTTTAAACCTGACTGAGGGGCACCTGGCTGGTTCAGTCAGTTAAGCATCCAACTCTGGATTTCCAATCTGGTTATGATCTCAGGATCATGAAAACGAGCTCCTAGTCAGGCTTGGCACTCAGCACAGAGTCTGCTTGAGATTCTCCCTCTCCCTCTGCCCCTCCCCCACATGTGTGCACAGGCTCTCCCTCTCAGATAAATAAATCTTTAAAAGAAAAACCTGAATGATATCTTAATTTCAGTTATTGTATTTTTTTGTTCAGAATTTCTGTTTGGTTGTTTTCAAAATTGTCATGTCACTTTTTTTCTTTTTAAGTATTCTCTACACCCAATGTGGGGCTTGAACCCACAACCCCAAGATCAAGAGTCCCACGCTCTACTGACTGAGCCAGCCAGGCACCCCTGTCATGTCACTTTTTATAGTTCCCAGTTTCCTGCTGAAAATGTTGAGCTTGGTTTTTATATCATTTAGCATAGTAAGCACAGTGCTTTGCAGGCTGTGTCTGATAAGTCTTATATTTAGAGTCCCTATGGATCTGTTTCTATTCATGTTTTCTGTTGATTCTCACTTCTCGATTTCTTTTCTCTTTGGTGCTTGATTACATTTGATATTATGCCTGACACATCTATATGCGGAAATAATTTGAAACCTAGAATGATATCTTTCTCTAGAGAGCATTGTTTGTTTGTTTTTTTCCTATTAGGTCCTGGAGGCACTAAACATTTAGAAACACCTTAATGCAATTTCAGAGCTTGAGATTTTCTGAGGCATCCAGATGATTCTAAGCCAAGGCCCGTCTCAGGTCTGAATTTATTCTCATTTGCCTTATTCCTAAAGTACAGCTAATCTGCTTATCCTGCTTACCTTGGAGGGCTTGTACTTCAACCTTTTTCTCCCTAACCCCACAAGGCTGCCAAAAATATGGCCCATTTCTTGGCTACTCTTTTAGGACTGGCAAACATTGCCACGAGGAAGTGTTAGGTTGGATCTGCTGTTACGTTCGTCTCTGGATTTCCATCCTCTCTCTGATCTTGGATTGGTAATTACTAATAATTAATCATGATCTTGTTAGCATTTTAATACTTTTAAGAAAAAAACATATATTTGTCCAGCTTTTTCAGTTGTCTTCAGTAGGAGAGTGGTCCAAATAACCACTGGCATAAAGACAGGCAGACCAATGGAACAGGATAAAATAGGGAGCCCAGAAATAAACCCTTGCATTTATGGCCAGATGATTTTTGACAGTGGGGGAAGACAGTCTCTCTTCAAGAAGTGTTGCTGGGAAAACTGGATGTCCCCATGCAAAGGAATGAAGTTGAACCCTTACCTCACACCATATAGAAAAATCAACTCAAAATGGACCAAAGATCTAAATGTAAGAGCAACAATTATAAAATTCTTAGAAGAAAACATCGGATAAAACCTTCACAACATTGGATTTGGCAGTGATTTCTTGAATATGACATCAGAGGCACAGGCAACAAAAGAAAAATATAGACAAATTGGACTTCATGGAAATTCAGAACTTTTGTGCATCAAAGGGCACTATCAACAGAGTAAGAAGGCAGCCCGCAGAAAGAGAAAATATTTGCAGATCATATTTGATAATGGATTTGTATCAGAACATATAGGGAACTAAAACTCAAAACAAAAAAAATAACTTAATTCAAAAATGGGCAAAAGACTTGGGTAAACATTTCTCCAAAGGGGATATTACAAATGGCCAATAAGCCCATGAAAAGATGTTCTACATCACTAATCGTTAGGGAAATGCCAACAAAACCCACAATGAGATACCACCTCATGTCTGTTAGAAGGCCTACTAGTAAAACAAAACAAAACAAAAACAGAAAATAACAAGCGTTGGTTGGATGTGGAAAAATTGAAACACTTGTGCACTGCTGGTAGGAAGGCAAAATGGTGCAGCTGCCATGGAAAACAGTATAGTGGCTCCTAAAAAAATTAAAAATAGGTCTACCATATGATCCAGCAGTACCCAAAAGATTTGAAAGCAAGATCTCAAAGAGATTTGTACACCCATGCTCATTGTGACGGTATTCACAGTAGCTAAAACGTGAAGCAACTTGTGTCCATCAACAGATGAATGGATAAGTAAAATGTGGCATATACATACAGTGTAATATGCCTTAAAAGGGAAGGAAATTCCAACATGGATAGAACTTGAGGATACCATGTTAAACAAAATAAGCCAGTCACAATGAGACATACTATATGATTCCACTTATATGAGGTACCTAGAACACTCAGAATCACAGGGACAATGGTGTTTGGCAGGGGCTAGGGCTGGCAGGGAGAAGGATAAGGGAATCAATATTTAATGGGTACAGAGTTTACGTTTTGTAAGATGAAAAGAGTTCTGGAGATGGATGGCAGGGGTTGCACAATAATCTGAATGTACTTAATAGCACTGATCTGTACACTTAAAAATGATTAAAATAGGAAATTTTATGTTTTGTGTATTTTGACACAATGAAAAAAAAAGTTTAATATCCATAAGCCAGTTTATA